CCCTCTCATGGTTCTCTCATAAGTCCCTCAAGGTTCCCTCTCATGGTGGTTTCAATCAAAGACTTGCGTCACTTTGTAAACCATGTCAACAGCAGCGCGCTTCTCAAGTTGTAACCTTTCATCCTTGAATGTTTACGCCATTAGCTTTGTCAAGCGCCTGCAGTTGATACAGAGTCAGTTCATTGCACCCTGATCAACAATGTCAACTTGTTCGTGCAAGCTACCAAAAACACAAGCACCTGGCACTGTGGAATGCGCAGTTAGAGTGTAGTACCTGAACACCCTACCTTAATTTATCGGTTTCACCCACATGAAGCGGAAAGGCGGCCAACAGCAAAGGATCAAAGCTGCCCGATCAGAGGAAGAATCATCCGCTGCTGGCATCGCTCAGCAAAGCGCTTTGGTCACCTTTCTTTTGACCTTGTTCACTTGGGGAGAGTTTTCGCCTCAACGCTGCCAGCACATTGCTGCTTTGGCACTAGAAGACTTGGAGAAGCACCACACCAACAGGCACATAGTCAGTGACCTGAAGGCCTTGGCCAGCATTGGGAGCAATGGCGCATATCCAAACAAGATGCACCAAGATTTGATGCAAAGGACGAAGAACATCAGCAAGGTACCGCAGCCCTACCTTTTCAATGCAAAGTTCAAAAGCCCGGTGGGTGCGCAGAACCAATCCCTGCTTTTACCTCATGAACTTTTCGCAACCATTGCTGCAGAGTACCAGACCACATGGTTCAAAAGCATTTGCCCAAACCAATCCAACCTTGAGACATTTTGGGAAACCGCTGTCAACCATCCGCTTCTTCACGACCATCCTGTATTGCATCGAGAGCACTGGCGGCGGTACGCCGTCCCCATCGCTCTCCACGGCGATGGGGTTCCTGTGGTCGGAATTGGAAAGGCCTGGACCAAACTCCTGAATGTGTTCTCATGGTTCAGCTTGGTGGGCACAGGGACCACACGGTCCAAGTTGTTTACACCTACTCCTGTTGGGACAAGATCTGTGAAGGATCATTTCCAGACGGTAGCTTGGGTTCAGCCTTCCGAGTCCTCCAGTGGTCTTTCTATTGGCTTTGGCTTGGCCAATGGCCTGACCGAGACCACAAGGGAAAAGTGTTGCCTGAATTCATTGCAATTTTTGTGTGAGATAATGTAAAGACGTGTAATACTATATGTTTGTTGGTTTGGCAGGTTGCTTTTCTCACTATTAGTTAACTATATATATATATAGAGTTAGTATTTGGTGTTTCAACGTTTTGTGTGGAACTTTTGACTTCAACCCTTCATTCAGGTATCCGCAGGGTTCAGCAGAATCCCTTCGTGCTGGGAAACCTTTAGCCCAAGGATTCTTTGGCCTGTTGTTCGCCTTGACTGGCGATCTCGATTACTTCGCCAATGCGCTCAACCTTCCCCACTTTGCAAAGAAACAAGGATGTTGCAGCGTTTGCCGTTGCGATGAAGAAGGCGAAGTCAGCTGGACTGACTTTAACCCAAATGCTGCCTGGACCAATAGCCATTGGACACGAGCAGAGTGGCTTGCTTGGCCGCAACGAAGCAAATGCCAGCTGTTCAACTTACCCGGAGCTTTCTCGGCGTTGGTTGCGTTAGATTTTATGCACTCGAAATACCTTGGCTCAGACCAACTCATGTATGGGTCTGTACTGACCTTGTTGGTGTTCCACATGTTGCCTGAGACTCCGGAGGCAAACCTGGCCCGAATATGGCAAGAGATTCGAGCTTGGTACAACCGCAATCCAGTTCCTGTGCGTTTTCGATACTTGAACAAACTCAGCGTGTTCGTACGCCAGAGCGGCTTCCCCAAGTTACGCGGCGAAGCCGCAGAGATACGTTACCTAGCAGGACCCATGCTAGAAGTATGGCGCCGCCACATGAACGAAGGAGTGCAACTACATCGTCGCGACTCTTCTTGTTTGGTGTGATTTTCTATGGGCGTTTGTGTGATATTTCATGTGATACTATACACAGGCCTTTGCAAAACATGTCCATATGCGTCTCACAGGAAACATTGCGCAGCTCAGGTATCGCGTTGATGCTCAAACTCAACTACAAGATTGAAACTCTCCTTACAGACTTTAAAGACCACTACGCCTTCCCCGAACCAGCGGCCAGTGAATTCAAGCAAAACGCTTTTGGCATGTATGCCTTGCAAATGCAGATTATGAAACACTTCTTGGATGAAGACCTTCAGCTTTTCTCTGTGACCAGCAAGAGCCACATGGTTTTGGAGTCTGTGCTGTTGTGTGACAAGGTGAGTCCTAGACTTCTATGGACATTTGCAGGGGAAGACCAAATGGCCAAGACCCAATTATTAGCCAAAGCGTGCGTCAAAGGAAATTCGCCAGCTCAAGCAACCATGAAAATGTCCCAACACTACAGGTTGGGGCTACACTTTGTATTCAAGGACCATGAGCTCCGCAGAGCTTAGGGGACCCTGTGTGTGTATCACCCTTGATGGACTGCGCGCTCAGGACTTCCAGTGAAAAAAAACTGTGTGCACGCGTGCGCTGAAAATGTGTCATACACATGACAATGGAAAAGAGTCGGCGCAAGAGTTTCATACTTGACCACTGTGAGAGACAATGAGTGAAAACCACCTTGAGAGAGTGCCACCATGAGAGAGTGCTCTATACAAAAAAACGTTTTTTTCATGTGTGAGCGAGAGAGAGGGCCTGACTAGTCTCAGAAGAACAAAGATGTATTGTGCGTTCCCTTTCTTCACTATAAACGGTTGATCTTTAAGTCAACTTTTGTATATTCTTGCAACTGTGTGTCCAAAGCCACAAGACAGCACCCTGCAACCCTGCACATGGGCTCACAAAAGTTGTGCAAACATGGAGCTCACAAAGCTTTCAATTTCCAAACATATCGCTTCGAAGTTTCACCGGGGGCACTTCGAAGTTTGTTCGAAGTTTCCATATCTAAATTTACAGAAAATAGTTAAATTTACAGAAAATAGTTAAATTTGTTTTAGCTAAATTTACAGAAAATAGTTAAATTTGCAGAAAATAGTTAAATCATATTTTAGCTAAATTTTTAGAAAATAGTTAAAAGTTATATTTAACTATTTTCTAAAAATTTAACTAAAACATAACTTAACTATTTTCTAGGAATTCTACGTTTTAGTTAAAATTTTAGGAATTATCTAAAAAGTATTTTTTTAACTAAGCCGGTCTATTGGGTAGTGGTACGCTAGGTAGTAGGCGTGAGCCATAAGGGTCCTCATGGCATAGTATTCGCTCCAATTATTGTGCTCTTGCTGGCATTAGACTGCGAATTTCAGGCAGTAGGTTGCTGTTCCCTGCGTAGACAATGGGCAAGCCCCGGGTCCTTATTGCACTGGACACTTCTTGGGATGCGTGCTTTGCCATTCTCAAATCGGCGCGGGGGACAAAAACGGGGAGTGAATTGGTCCTCATGGCAGCTGTCCTCTCCGAGTGGGGAACGTGGTGTCTGTCTGGGGGGCGCCGGATTTGCGCGCGTTGGGGGGAGAACGCCCGCGGGAGTCTCAAAACGAACCTCTTTGAGGGCGCGTTTTGAGGTGGTAGCACCTCCGCTTTGCAGGGGAGCGCTCTCCACGCTCGGAGGGGTGACATGGGTCGGCGAATATGGCGGCCGCGGTTCATTCTGGCTAGTTGACAGGGCCCAGAGCAGTCTTTCATGTGTGGGATCTTGGTCTGGGTTTGCCCCTGTCGACGCACTTGCCCTCATGAGTAGGCTATGACTGCTGAATGAGAACGGAGTTTCGATTTGCATTTGGAGCACCGATTTCAACAAGTGCCGCAGAGGCCTGTTTCTTCAGGCCTTGTACCCTCCTCTCGCGAACGAACAAGCAAGCCAGCATGCTCTCGAAGCTCGTAATCAGTCATAGGTCTGTCTCCTGTCTCACCTTGTTTCACCTGCCTGTACAGCATTGCATCTCCTCCTCGAGTGTTTTCGGATTCATTCAAACGTAGTCAAAGATGACCTGCGCGCCATGCACACATGGCGTCTCCACCCGTGCAAAAAAACCAGCGGTGCACAGTGTGCAGACGGCGCCACAGTTATGTTTCACCAGGGCACTGCGCGACCTCAGCCAGCTTGCTGTCGAAAGTTTGCGCCACCAATGGGATGAAGCGGGCGCTTGGCGAAGTGCACTCCTGTAGACTTTGCTGTTATGGAGCACGCCTCAGCCGTGCTGCAGCACTAGGTTGGCAGCAGACCCACACGGAAGCCCACAACTGCCACCAAAGAGCCACGACAGACAGCGCGAGCTTTTGCCAGAATTCATTGCCCAACAACAACAGAGCAGTGGCACTGTCTCACCGTCGTCTCACCACACGCAAAGTTGAATCTCCTTTCGGTTTGGTTCGCGTGTTTTTGTTTGGTGTTGGTTTGCCTTGGTTGGCTGTGTTTTTCCTGGCTTGGTTGTTTTCTTTGCAGGAGATTCATCCAAACCTAGGAAAAGCTGACCTGTGCACCTCCTGCACACATGGCGTCTCCACCCGTGCAAAAACATGAGACCGGGCAATGTCACACCGATGATCAACAATCGGCGCATGAGTTTCTCTCAAGTCTGAGAACTCGCCGGGAGCCCGGCCAGCCGCAGATCAGCAATCTCATACGCACAAGGTAGAGATATTGTTTTTGGCGAACTTTGTTGCAGTCGAGATTCATGTCTGAGACAGGCTTGTATGGGAGGTAGGTGTGTCTTACATTGGATGTCATGATTGTCTACAAGAAGAAGAGGTTCAGGTAGAGATTCGTTCGATACTTGATTCTTTGCATTGCTGTCAGGGCCGCAGGAACCAGCCAAAGGACCACCATCGATCTGATCATGTTTCTTTGCCACGTACAGGAGGAAGTCCGATTTTGAATTTCCATCAACAGTCGAGGCAGAGGCGTGTTGAGGTCTTTGAAGAACCAGCCAACTCTGTCGATTGTTTTTTGAGAAAGGTTCAAGAGGTTCATGGACAGGTATCCAAGAGCTTGGAGCTACCAGCAAACAATCAGTGCTGGAAGTCAGAAGTCTTGAGACAGGTGTTGTCGAACCAGCATCTAGAGTTTGTTGAAGGTATCGTGAACGGATGTTCAATGAAGATGTTTACCAAAGGTCAAGTTGGAAACAGGTTCAGGTTTATGTCAAAAAGAAAGGAGGTTGCAAACAGGTTAGCGGAAAGGTTTAAGTGTCAGTGCATTGTCGAGCACGCAGCTTTCAACAATGTCAATTGGACAGAGACGGAACGATACACCCGTGTGTTCGCTCGATACTTCGTTCGGTTTCTAAGGAATGAGGTTGGGCATTCATAAGCGACGAATGCTGCCGCAGAGAAGGGTCCAAGATGGATCTTACACCGTGACGTGATGGGTGTTTTCTTTTTGCAGCGCCGCATCGATCAAGTCGAAAGGACGTCGCAAAAGGAGAGAGAGTCTTTTGTCTAGGTTTTCGAGGTTTTCTTTGAAGAGAGCGTCGAATGTCGAATGTCAGGGGAATAATAGATTTTATGATGAGCCTGAGGTTTTCGAGGTCGGTCGAATGTCTCTTGAAGAGAAGATCGGAATCGGAGATCAGAAGGTCTTATTGGCAAAGCCATGGAGGTCTGGAGATTCGGACTGAATGCAATTTCTATTTTATTCTGTTTTGTGTGTGGTTCAAGCTTGCTGTGCTTGCTGTGCTGCTGACTGCTTGTGTATCCGCAGCCATTTGGGACGCGTGATGGCCGTGGAAGCAGCGTCGAGTATGCTGGATGGTCGTGAATTTGAGATTCTTCTGGCGGTGATTTTCAGCATGGGGATCTTTAGTGGATTTGTGCTGAGTCAAGCTTTCTGCAAGTCTCGTGGCGTGAAAATGTGACAATCAATGGGAAGGAACGTCATAGCCATAGAGATGAGGAAGTGAATGCCAAGGTGTCTGTATCTCGAGGAGTGGAGACTACTTTGGGCCCAGTGGAAGTTTTGATTCCACCAACTTTCAGGAAGGATTGGTTACAGGTCTGCCGCACGGGAACTGTAGCCCATTGCAGCCCACTATGCCATTACACTCGAGGGAAGGGTATATGTCGCCTTCAACTCTGCAAGGCGCGCGAAAAGATCGTTTCCAAAGAGTGCTGCAAAGCTGACAGGACTGAAGCCAGTGCCTCTACTCAAGTCACCACTAGCTCAGAGTGAATGAGCCTCACCTCGAAAGGGGGTGTGAAAGTGTGTGAAGTAGCGAGGTGCAGGCAAATGCAGTAGCTGTGAGGTTTTTATTTTTGCAGGGCATAGTTTTGCATTTGGAGTGCTTGAGCAAGCGTTCCTTACCGGAACTTTGTGTTGCGAAGTGTTTTGAGAGCTTTGGAGAGCATAGCTCATGGAATGTACAATGTTTGGAAGCTTTGTGAACAGAAGTATTTGTAGCTTTTGTAGTGTGAATGTTTCTTGCACAGTGTTGTGCATGTTTGCGTGCGTCTAAGCCCGACACTTTCAGTGTCTCGCATGGGAATAGCTTGTATGCAGGAATACCTCATAGCCTTTTGTACTTTACTTTGGCTCAAGGCCCAGAGAGTGCGCGCAAAAGTGGTGCGAGTGCTTTTGCGTTGCTTGTGAGCTGTTGCGCGTGCTTTCGCTTTGTGTTTAGGACGTTTGTAATCTACTTACTTAAGGTAATAGGTTTTTCAGGGAAACATCGTGAGGGCTGGCCGCATCCAACAACAAGAACAAGGAGCCTCTTCAGGTGCAACGCCAACCGGCGAAGTCTTCAACGACCTGAGCTTTTAGGTCTTGAACTTCCACCATCACCTTCATGACGTCCACGTCCGGGTTCGTCGGTGTTCACGAGAACGATGTCCTCTCCATGATGCATCGATCGTGCCGGACGATGTTGCTGTTGCAGAGCTCCTTGTGTCTTGCGTGGGCTTCGGCAGCCGCGGCCGTGTGCACACTCGCCTGTGCAAGGGTCTCCTGCCATCCTAGAGTGATCTTCACCTCTCATGGCACCCATCCCACTTTTCCGGACCGAGGTTTCAGCTGCTTGCGCGCTGAGGCCAACTCAGCTGTCTCGGCACTCGCCACCGCACTGATTGCAGGCCTCAGCCGCCATTGCGCCGATTGCTCGCCGCTTGCATGCCCAGCCGGTCACCTCAGGTTGATCTCCAAGCGCCGGCTTTTGATCCTCCGGATTCCTCATCCTCAAGAGGCTGCCTCCTGATCCCAGGCCATGGATGGCTCGCTCGCCGATCGCAGTTCTTCCGAGGAGCTTTCATCAGGAACCACCGGAAGATCACCTGGGCGCACGGATTCGCCATGGGGACCAGCACACCTCACAGGGTGGTGGACTTCGAAAATCAACGTCCTTGCGTTGGGCGTTGGGCTCATGCACGAGCGGAGAAGGCTTTTCGAGAATAAAAAGGGCCTTCGACGATGTGACATGTTGTTACCTTCATGGCATGACCTCAACTGCAAAACATGAGT